CACGTGAGATTAATAACGTGCTGGATTAGTGTGATCCTAGTTCATTTTATTACTTCATTGCTGTGCGATATGTGTATAGGCCAATGTAGTTGGATCTGTATGGGCGTTATAATTAATCAAAATTAATCGATTAAAAAAAGATTTTGATTAATCGAACAGGAAAATTTTAATTAGTAACAGCCCTGGTATTTTATTTTTTTCTTGCTTTTTTTATTTCCTCGAGTCGTTGTGGACAACGCTGGACATCGTGATTGACCCTGGATTATGTCAGTGGATCCAATGTTTTGTTAAAAAAAAAAATAAGGATTGTCAAAAAAAACATGTTTTTTGGGTCCCCCCCCATTAAAGGATTTGTTTTTTAAATAAAGTCTGGTGGCTTTTTTTTTTTTTCTTTTTCCAATAGCTTTTAACCCTATAGTAAATGGGTACGGGTACAAGTTTCATTCCCTGATGCTGGAGGCCAAAAAAAAAACAACCATGAGTTGATTACTTGATAACTCTGTTTCCAGGAATCTTCCAGGACAGCCAATGAGAGAAGGCTCCACCTGCCTGCTCTTACCTCGTAGGGTGGCACCACAGCTTGCAGGACCTTCCTGCCAAATGCCTGGTCTTGTTGAGTCATAAGGTCCAGCCTGTAGTGCCTGACGAATGTCTGGAAACTGGACCATGTGGCTGCTCTGGAGTAGCCCCCTGCTCACTCCGCCCATGAAGTAGCCCCCTGCTCACTCCGCCCATGAAGTAGCCCCCTGCTCACTCCGCCCATGAAGTAGCCCATGCTCTAGTCGAGTGTCCTGTGAGCAGACCTGGTAATATCAAGCCCTGTGCCTTGTAATTCTCAGTAATGGCCATCTTAATTCACCTAGCTATTGTGCTTTTAGTGGCCCTGTTCCTTCTAGTGGGACCCCCAAAGACTACAAAGAGGCGGGTCGACTGTCTCCAAGGTTTCGTGACCCTAAGGTACTCCAAGACACACCTTATGTCAATACCTTCCCATTCCTTTTCTCTAGCAGAAGTAGGGTTAGTTGCGAAGGAAGGGATGACCACTTCCTGAGTCCTGTGGAAACCACCTTTGGCAAAAAAGCCGGGTCCGGCCGCAAAATCATTTCATCTACCAGGATGGTGCAGTACGGATCCGCAATGGAGAAAGCTTGAATTTCGCTCACTCTCCGAGCAGAAACTAATGGTGCCAAGAGGGCCGTCTTCATCATCAGATGCTGTTTAGAACATTCCCCCAGGGGCTCGAAAGGCTGCTTGAGAAATCCTTGCAATACCACCGAGAGATCCCAATTTGGCACGACCTTACCCTTTGGGGGTTTCATTCTGACTACAGCTCGCAGAAATCGCTTTATGAGAGGTTCTTCCGCCAGTCTAATGTCCACAAAATTAGACAGAGCTGAAACCTGCACTTTCAGAGTACTACAGGAAAGACCCTTCTCCAGACTCCCCTGTAGAAAATCTAACACCAACGGTACTGTGTCGGCCACCAGTCTACCTTGGCTGTTGTACCAGCTGGAAAAGACTCTCCACACTTTCAGGTAAATCGCTGGCAGAAGAAGCAGCGGCCCCTCCACACACAGCTCTAGGAGTGTCACGAACCATGGCCTCTTCTGCCAGTATGGTGCTATGAGAATTAACGTCATCTGTTCTCCCGAGTTTCCGAAGAACATTCGGAATCAACTGCAGCGGAGGAAATGCGTAACCTTAACGGAACCCACAGGGGTGCGCCAGAGCGTCTACCCCCCAGAGCCCCGTCGTTCCTGGAGAGGGAAAAGAATTGTTCCACCTGCCTGTTGTTAGCAGCTGCGAAGAGTTCTACCTTCCGACAGCCCCACAAGCTGGTGATCCAGGTAAACGTCCTCCTGTTCAGAGCCCATTTGGACCTGTGAAGTTCCGTTCGGCTGAGAGTCTGCCAGCCCGTTCAGGCTGCCTTTGATATGCCTCGCCGTCAAGGAGAGGAGGTTGCGTTCTGCCCATGACAGAATTTCTGTCACCAATGCCATTAGGCCCTGTGACCGCATGCCCCCCCTGCTTGTTTAATTAAGCTACCACTGCGGCATTGTCCGAGGCTACCGCTACATGGTGTCCTGTAAAGTATCTCGAAACTGGCAGAGAGCCAGCCCTATCGCCTTTAACTCTCTCCAGTTTGACAACTTGAGTCTGCCCGTGTGCTCCCAGGTATCCTGCCAAATGTGCTCCAGGCTGTAGGCTCCCCATCCCCAGGCACTGGCATCTGTCGTGACTACCAACGGTGCTAGCTGGCACCACAGCCTGCCTACTGAGAGGTTCCGACAGTCTATCCACCACAGCAGGGATTGCTTGATCTCCATTATGTGGACTACTTTGTTTAGGTCTTCTTGCCGACCCCCCCAGATCCTCAATAGCCTATTCTGTAGCGTCCTTGAATGGAATTGCACCCAGGTAACTGCTGGGATGGCGGACGTCATAAGTCCCACCACTCTCATTACTGATCTGACTGACACGTCGCCTTGCAACTTCAGTCTTAGAGTCCCTCTACCAGCAAAGCCACTTTTTCCCCCGGTAATGCAATGGTCATTTCCTGGGTATTGATCCAATAACCTAAAAACCTTACCGTCTGTGCGGGGACCAGTTGTGACTTTTGCCTGTTCACCAACCATCCCACACTCTCCAAGTGCTGCATCACCAGCTCCAGCTTTTGTTGGAGCACAACCTCTGATGGGGCGAAAAACAAAAGGTCATCCAAGTATGGAATGACCCCCTACCCCCCGTGATCCTAGGGGGGCCAGAGTCTCTGCAAATACTTTGGTGAAGATTCGAGGCGAAGAGGCAAGGCCCTGTATTGGAAATGCAGGACCCCCGCACAGCAAACCTCAGTAGGTATCGTGACGACTGTCTTAATGCAATGTGAAAATAAGCGTCTCTTAGGTCTATAGTTGCTAAAAAGGATCCAGCATGGGGGCAGCAACTCTCGTATTGAAAATATCGATTCCATACAGAACTTTTTGTACAGTACCACCCTGTTCAGAGGCTGCAGATTTAGTATCAGTCTGCATTTTCCCAAGGGCTTCATCCTGGAAAAGATGTGGGAGTAAAATCCCCTCTTCTCCTCTAAAACCGGTACTCGCACAATGACCCCCCTGGTCCAACAGATCTTGCAGAGCCGCTGTCATTGCCTCTGCTTTCCTCCGGTCCTTTGACAGGGAAATAATCAGAAGCCTGGACAAGGGCCATTCCGTCAGTTCTATTTTGTAACCGGTCTGAACCAGCTCCAAAATGAATTTGTTGCTGGTCAGCTCCCTCCAGAGCGGGAAGAATTCTCCCAGTCTTCCTCCCACCCTGATCAACCGTCATTGGGATTTATTGGGCTGCTGTGGGGGGTTAAAGAAGAAATTGCTCTTAAGACTTCCCCTTTTTGAAAGCCCACCCTTTGGACTGGTCTTGTTTTTCCCCATGAAATCCCCTTTTTTCTTTGTGGAAATTTTGACCCATTTGGCCACGAAAAAACATTTTCCCCTGCTGCTTGGGTGGCAGTGGAAAACCTGGATGGGATGGAAGGAGGAGTCTTTTTAGTTAATGTGGTTGATGTGTTTCCTGTTAGCCCTGTAATTAGTATGAGTATAATTAGGAATGTAGCCATGTTGAGGTCATACACATATCCATCTAATAAAGCCAGGTAATTAGTCGCACTAAATCCCAACTTGATGCAAATTAATGGCTTGATGGTATACATCAAGCCATGCAGTTTACCAGAGACTGCCTGTTCTCACTCCTCCGACCAAGTCTGGATCTCCCCTGCAAATAAAAGTCTACTTACCTTGCTCTATGAGGGGTTCCCCGTTGAGCTACAATGATAAAGCTTCCAATTGTTTTACCTTTTTCAATAATCCTACCACAACATCACTCGGAAAAGCTGAGAATACTGGATCAGTTATATAGAGAACAGACTTGCATTACAGCCATAAAAACATCTTACCTACTTCAGATCAGATGTATATACAGTATGTTCAGGCTATTTCAGTAAATACAGAGCCATAAAAGGTGGGCAGTAAATGATAGCAGCCAATACGACTTGAGTTTACTGAAATCTGCAAGCTAAGAAATGAGTTGTGGTTGTCCCCGGATAAAAGGAAACCTGCAGTGAAAGAAATATGGTGGCAGTCATTACTAACCTCCTTCTGGAAATATTTGCTAGTAATTGTAATACCTTTCTAAAATCAGTGACCCAAAGCAAGAATGCAACTAGAGGAAAGTCAGAATTCCAAACCTGTATTTTTTTTTTAACTAGGGTTAGTGATTTAGTGTTGAAGGCATCAGATCAGCAAGACTGCCATAGAACAAGTCCAAACAAGCCGGGTACAAAAATGGTCTCTCAGATAACGGAGCCCAGACCTGCCAGCCAGTTTTTCAGGAGACAGAGACTAGAGTATTAGCTAGTGGCTTGTGTTGTAGGCAGTTACTACTCCACTCTCTTTCCCCTGAATAGTTGGGCAGCTGGTAGGTAAACCCGGGCACTGTCTTAATTACGAAGAAGGTGGCAGAAGAGCCATGCGGTTGCAAGACGTTGCAGATGTTCTATCTGGCAATTTAGGAGAAGGCAGGGGCAGTGCTGTGCAGGCTCTATGTGCACTGGGTCCTCTGAAGAATTGAAGTCATTTTCAACTATTAAGGTGATAAGGGGATGCTTCCGTCTTAGATGAAAGTTAGGTTCACAGTAAACAAAGTATATACGTATGCACTCTGGAAAGAAAATTAAGCTTTTATTAATGTATAAAAATAAATTACAACTGATAACATA